GGGTAGCACCGGGAGGTTGTGGAGGAACAGCACTGGGATGGGTGGCAGAATCTAGCTGGGAAGGAGGTACGCTTCCCTTTTCCGACCGGGATTACTCCCCCAGAGACTCTGACGGCTGAAAGGATTGCGAGGACGGAGCAGAAACACCACGCGAATCAACGCGAAGCTTTGCTCATCCCCGCTCCCAAATTACTGCGTAACAGCAGAAGGAATCCCGCGGGACGCTGCGTTCCCGTTGCACGTTTGTCTGGATCCTGCGTTTGAAGGGCACAACCAGAACGTAACTCGTGGCAGCGCCTCAGCGATGCTTCCGAAACGAACCAGAGAACGAGACAGGCAGAGCGCTTCCAGGAAACTCGACGGATTCTGGCGAGGGGGGGCGGTTCGAGGTTCCGGGGACGTCGGCCTCCCGCAGCGGCTGCAACAGCTGCCGAGCAGAAACTGCCCTTGTTGTGCCTGCTTGGGGCAGGCCGAGGTGGGAAAGGGGAGCTCGCTGCCTTCCAGCGACAGGGAAACCCAGACCCGCCTGGGATCGAAGGTCCAACCGGAGCTGCCGGAGCTGCACCTCTGCCCTTCGGCCTTCTTTGCCCAGGGGATTGATGCTCCTTTCCACCCTCCTCCCGGCCCAGCGCCGCCGCCTGCATCAGCCCCAGAGAAGGAGGTTTCATGGCCGTGACCGTAGCTCAGGTTTTGGGAGCGTATTGCCGGGGTAGGATTGGCACACGGGCGTGGGGGCAGGGATTAAACCCAGCAGAGCTGGGAGAAAGTCTGTCAAATATTCGGCTGCTTCGCGGACCTTTACGTCAGGGGCCATCGCGGTGTCCTGTGGCGACGGGATCGCGAGGGAGAGCAGAGCTGGAGACGGAGGAGAGGCCGTGTTAACGGGCAGAGAAAGCTGCAGGGGCTCTCGGCCGTCAACCCTGCTGACGGAGATAATCCTTCCGTCTCCTTCGACTTCAAACCAAAAGACACGCAGAGAGAGAACGTGAAACGCAAGCAATCTCCTCTCTGGAAGGTCCTTGGTGTGTGGAGTACAGCTCCACTCACGTTCATGCTGGGGGTGAACTCCAGCAACACCCC